TTTTGGATCACAAGCAAAAATTCTTCCAGGTTTTGGAATTTATTTAAGTTCTTGGGCTGGTATTGGCTGAGTATTCCATGCTCTCCATTTGATGAGGGCTTCCTTCCCAGCCACAGTCCTGGGAACAGGCTGCACTGTAATTAAAGAGATGAGGGATTTGATTTGGGTGTGGTCTTGCCACTGAGGCACCCAGCATTTGGCAGCTATGGTTGCATTCAAATTCCTATTTGTTTTGTTTTGATATGTATTATTTTTTAATCTGAGCAGGACTGGCTGTCCGGGGCTGCTTTCCCTGCATGCCCTGACCCTGTGTTAATGGTGCTTTCTGCTAATCCATTCTACACCTGATGAACTTTTTCATCCCCTCCCACTCTTGCAGGCAATTTTGTGCTAAGACTTTGCATACAGCATTACAGTGCAGCTCTAGCTATGCTAGAGGAACCATAACTTAGTACTGCCTCCTTTCTGCTTGAGAGAGTGGAAGAAGTTTTTTGTGGTCTTTTAATATCTTCTTCAAGCCCTTAGCTAATTGCATTCTGTACTTTTTTCCCCAATACATAATTATGTGTTGCATACCATGTAGATAAGCTAGTAGTTCTTGGGAGTTAATGAATAGTTCAGATATTTCTGCATTGATATTATAATAATGATAAAACCATCAAATGGAAAAGTGGGTGTGACAGGTGGTACAAGTCTGGATAATATTGTTTTTCTATAGGAATAGAATAGGAATGGCCCAACAAAGCAGACAAATTTGTTTCATTTCCCAAGTAATAGTGCATCTAGCAGAGAACACAGCACCTGTCCTATTGGGAGAGGCCACTGAAAATGCTGCTGGGGAAAACAGCAAGTCCTCCTGTGTGTCAGTGCCACAGATGTAGGTCCTGATGGTTCTGAGTGCAGATGCAGCCCGGTGAGCTGAGCGTTCACCCAGTTACCCTCTGGTGCACACAGGCAGTGGGCAGCCTCTCCCTCCTCTGACACTATCAGCGTCTGTGAAGGCTTTGAACTCTCACACTGCTTCGCTCTGGGGTTTTGTTGGCAGATATTTGAGCAGCTGTTTCATGGCCTGCAAGTGCCTGCAGTGCTGGGCCTGGACGGTCTGGCTCATTCAGAGCTTTGGCTTTAGCTGCTGTGCTGGGTTTGTCTCTTCAGTGCTTCTCTATTACTCAGGGAAATCCCGTTCTAAACAAGCTGCTGTGGGTGCTGGCAGTTTCTTTTCAGTGCTTTCTAGGTCAGGAATTTCTTGCATGCCAGTGTGAGCAGATCTTGGGAAACCCTTGTTTTGATTTGTCAGGTCGCTGGGTTTGTTTTGTTTGTTGTTTTTTTTTTTCCCCCTTCTGATTCTGCAATGCAGTTTCAAAACTAAATAGGGCTTGTTTCATCAATGCACACTGTCATGTCATGCAACAGTGGAAATCACTTGTACGGAAGGTAAGTCAGTGCATGTGCCCTAAGGAAGCTCCTGCCAGTGTTTTCAAGCAGGACATCACCCGTCATTTAGCAACACCTAAAGAGCAGGCCTGCTTCTTTGTGCATGCAAGACTGGGAATGGTTTCATGACAATCCAAAGAAGATGGTACTACACTTCTGTTTTCAACTTGCCCATTCTGATAGCAGTGGGAATTTATCTTGAGGTACAAATGTCAGCAGGGCTGCCGCCATGGTTTTCTGCAGCTGAGTATTTAAATAGGGTCCAAACTGTGAAGCTTGTGTTTAGCAGCTAGTGGGTGGCTGAGCTGAAGCCAGCTCATTTGATCTGTGTGAACTGCAGTCACACCTTAGGGTTGCAGTGTAGATATAATCACAGAGACCTTAGAATAAACCTCTCCCCACCTAATCTTTTCACATGTTTCTGAACAGACAGGTGTGTGCACCACTCCTACGTCTGCAGAATGCGTTATTTGAAGCAGGTTGCACATGGCTGCAGGCATGAAGGAGAGCCTGGTGGTAACCAGGTTGCTTGTGTCTAATGGTTGAGAGGTCAGGGAGCTTCCCTGGAAACACAACTTTGGGAGTAGCAGGGAGAAGGTGCTGGGGCCGCATGTAATGTTATCAGTGCCCAGCTGCCTCATGTGGAAAGTTGTGTGCTTGGAAGGAGCCAGCATACATCTTTCTCCCATTAAAAGACACCTTTAAAAACCTTTGTGCTTTTTGAGTAAATAGCCTTATTGCCCAGTGTGGTGTCACAGCACAGAAGCAGCTTTTAAAGAACTGCATCTGTGTTACCGATGCAACTGACGCCCTATAGCTTTGTTTCTGTAGCTTCTCATTCCTTACACAGCTGAACTGTTTTGCACCTGCCTTAGAAGTAGTTTGAAATAGAGGTGTGATGCTTTGTTTTGGTGAGTGGAAAATGGGGCTCTCCCAAGGGAAGCTATACTGTCTTTCTGCTTTGAAATTGTAATTTCATTGTGGCTTAGCTCTTGAACACTCTTTTGTACCATTGCAATGCTTTATTCATGTAAAAATGTAGCACTGGTTACGTGAAGAGCCCAGATTCATTTAAATATAAAGGGTAACCAGGGCTTTCTTTACACTGGCTCTGCTATGGAGTGGTTCTGTAAATGATGGTTAACACAAGAAATTCCTGTTCAGAGCAGCTTTTTACCTTGCATCAGATGTTCTTCTTGCAGCTTCTGTTTTCCTGTAGCTCTGGTCAGCAGACAAAGTCTATCCTGGCAAGCAGGCTGCCTTGTGCATGGTCAGCACCACCCACCCTTGTCTGAAGCCTGACCTGAGCGCTTCCAGGAAAACTCTTCCCCTCCTGGAAGCCCTCTGGCACTGAATGTGGACGAGGTCAGCCACCTTCCTTGGCATTTCATTGACATTCTCTCCCTATCTAACCCTCCACACCCAAATTGCTCTTAAAGTCCTCTTTATGCCCACTACCCACAAGAATCTGATAACTGCCCTGCTGTCTTTGACAAGTACTTAAACACCAGAGCAGGACCAGTAGAGTAACCTAGATAGGGCTAAAGGAATTAAACCTGCAAACAGTCCTAATCATCCCTGTGCGTGGGTTTCTCAGCAAATCCTGTCTCTGTGCCCATCTTGATCAGCATACCACGTTAACTGCTGTCTGTATTTCAACTTACAGAGTTCCAAGCTCTGCATCAGCATTTACAGTATCTGGTTCAGCTGGTAGGGTGCTTTGAAAAGTTGGCACTGTGTTTCTTATATCTTTATTCAGGCCTTGGAACACCGAATTTGCTCTAAGAAATAATAGGTGGTAGCACTAACGTGCCATGTAATCATGCAGCCACTCGAATGGCTGTCAGCCTTGCTGGGAGGCAGCCTCAAGGAGAGTGGTGCCTAGATATGAACTGCTTATGGCTGCTTCCAGATCCTCCAGACGTGTATGTATGAACTTCCAACCAAAGGGGGCCTTGTCAGCCACACATGGCTTCCCTTTCTTGGATTGCATCAGGAGTTGGAAGATGCTCAGGAGCACATCTGTCTGCAGCATGATTGCTGTCCGGAGCCTGGATCTGGGTCCAGCTGTCTGCCTTCTCGTCATCTAGAGGCAGAAGGGAAAATCAAAAGCTCTATCTCTTTATTGTATTCTCCCTTGGTTTGTCACTGCTTAATTGTATCCCTGAATCTTACTAAAGTTTGGGGTGAGTCATTACCATGCAGAGGTGAAAACAGAGCTGTGCAAATTGAAGGGAGGAGTGTTTCTCCATGTGCAGAGCAGAATTCCCACAGCGCAGAGAAACTCCTATCACTCCATAGATATGTTGCATCATCTGCTAGCTGCTGCCTCTAATTTAATGCCCTAAATCCCATATCAAAACACTTGGAGTCCAAAGAGAAAATGAAATAGGCTTGGAGTAGGAAATTCACACCAATTAGACATGCAGATCTCTCTTAATCGTCGGGGATCTTCCAGGTTCATGCAGGCCTTATAATTGTGGTGCTGAGTTCTTATTGACTATCCTCAGAACACACTTCCTTCTCCACCATCAAAATGAAATTGGAGGAGTGAGCCAAGGTGACTGCTCTTCAGTGTCCTGAATTTATTTCATTTACGACTATAGCAGTTCAAGCTTGTAAAATACATTATGATCTCCTGTGGAGACAAGTACTGCAGAACTGTCATTGTCACCGATCAGATAATTTCTTTGCGATGTACAGAAAGACCTCCTCTGCTTCACTTTGTACACATCATTACAGCTCCTTGCACTTGCTGTTTTGGTTTATGGTACAAACCCAAAAGAACTCTTCTTTCTGAGGCGATGGTTTCTACCACATCTCAGGCTGTTTCTCCTGTTAACTTTTGGAGATTTAATGTGCCTGCTTGGCATTCTGGCCCAGCTGGGAATATGTTGGTGGAGGCAGCTCTGGACATGTGTGTGTCATTGATTAGGAGCACAGAATGGCAGAGTGGTTTGGATGGAAGAGATCTCTGAAAATAAGCAGGGAGATGGACTAGATTAAAGCATTGTTTGGAGTTGTTTTAGAGCTAAGTAGCTGGTTGCTTACCCATCTTTGGTAAGCTATTTTAAATTTATTTTACTGATTTGTTTTGGAAGCGAGGACCACCCAGAAATAGTTAAATATGAAAACTCCCATCATGGCTCTCCTTAATGAGATTTATTGAAACTTTTCAAAAGTTCAATTTAATTTGTCTTGGTTTTTTTAACCACTTGAAGCACCTAAGGTACAGAATCACATTTCCTTGTATTTCTGTATAATAACAAAGCCAGACAAACAACAACAACAAAACAAACCAAGCCAAAAATTTGTGATCTCCTTGAAGAACAAATACCAGCTTCCAATAGACGAGGATTTAATTCCCAAACTCTCTGCATGCCTCTGCTATTACAGTAGCAAATTACTGAGTGTGCATGTACGGAAAAGAAGCCAATGTGCAATCATTACAATTTGTATGTCTACAAGACTGGAATTTGTAGCTTTCCTGATGCTTTACAAAGTGCCTGAGATGTATGCTTTTCAAGGGCTGTGAAGGTACTAAGGTTCTTCTGTTTTCCTTGCAGGTGTGTTGTTAGACATCCAGCAGCACTTTGGAGTCAAAGACAGCGGGGCTGGCTTATTACAGACAGGTAAGAGTCTGTGCCATATTTCCTTTGAAATACATTCTTAGGAGGAAAATGAATGAAGATGGGAGTGGGTTTTTGTTACTGTTGTTTGGTTTGTTTTATTTTGCTGATGGGCAAGAGATCAGGGCTCAATGGCTTGAGTGCAAAAAGAGCCAAGAAGCAAAGCTAATTATATATGTCAAAGTCAAATAAAAGGTAGCTACCTGGATTACAAAGCTCTCAATAGACCAACAGCAGGATTCTGTTCTTGTGCAGAAGACGTTTGTAACGTGTGAGGTGTGATGCCCTCCATGTATTCAGAGTCTGCTGAACGTGCAGTATTTGGGAGTCCAGTGTGCCATAGAAATGTGAAACGCGTCAGGAAAATAGTTGAGGATGAAAGCTGCAGGAAGGGCTGACAATGCTTGCTTTCATGCTAGCTCACTGATTAAAAAATACTCCTATGATTTTGGTACATTGACATCAGACATTTTTCCTCCATGTATTTAAGGAAGAAAAAATACTGAAATTCTGTTGCCTGTCCTTCTGATGTTGCAGGCAGAGCTGAACGACCGTAGGAAAAAAAAGAGCTTTTCTAGCCTGTGGTTCAGAGTTGGTCTAAAGGAGTGGCTTCATCAAGGGATGGGAGACGATGCTGAGTAGCGTCTCATGAATGACAGCACATTTGTTCTTTATGGAGAGGTGAAAGGACCAGCAAGGCAGCAAATGCAGTATTTTAAGGAGAGAAGTAGTCTGGTTTGGAAGCCAGTTGTAGAATTGCGATGCTGGGGCTGTCAGGCTCCTCATCTGTGATTAGAGCATCTTGTCATGTTGCAGTACAAACTACTAATATTAGTCCATATTAGGGCCTTAAAAATTCTCTCCTGTCTCTTATGGGACAGAGGAGTTCAGCTAAGCTGAAGCAGCACATGTCCACAACAGAAGGTCTGAGCTTTGTAAGTGTTACTGATTATACGTAGCATCAATCAGTCATGTTCAAAGTGGCACTGGATGTCTGTCAGGTTCTTTTCTACAGCAATTATTTGTTTTTATTTATTGTGCTCTGAGGAACAGATCCTCAATGTATCATTAGACTCAAAGTGCCTTCAACAGAATATTCTAGTGGAAAACTGCACTTGCCTAAGCACATATATTTTCTTCATTCCTCTCAGTGGATGAAATCCTTCTGCAGATGATTTACTGACAGCAAGCAGTAGCTAAGCTATCAGGGCGTTTCATTTGTTAATTGCTAGACATTTTATTTATTTCTCTAGCAAACATACAGAGCATCTGAAAACAGAGTCACTGAGGTATTGCAAGCTTGATGCTGAGCGTGTTGTGAGTTGTGTAACCAATAAATTTTGCTTTAAGAAGAGTAACATTTTTTTTCTGATCTGAAAACTGAGAGCTTGACTTTGCCCTCCTCCTACTGGAGATAGTACTGTAGATAATAACATTGTGTTAATGTTATGTATTAATATGTATTAATCACAGCACTACCACAGGAAAAACTGCTCCTAGAATAAGACACCATTTCATGTAAGTAAGGTTAATGCCATCTAACAAAAAACTTGGTGAATGTGTTACTCTGTTTCTATTTGGCAGCTGGCATATGGCTGTGGTACTCTTAACCCTGGTGGAAAGGAACATGCTGGCCTAAACCTCCATAAACACTACCTGAAGTCTTTTGACCATTCTCTAAGTCTGCTTGCTCTAAGCTGCACATGGAGGGAGCTGGAGTATAAAAATGCTTGACCAAGATTGCAGACAGAATCTACAGTAAAGCTGGGATCGAGACCAGTTTCTCCCAGACCTCTTCCTTAACCTTGAACAGTTCTTTTCCAAGCAGAAAGTCAGAAATACCATCTTACTCCCAGGAGATGGTCTTGCTAACTAATTGAGTGATATGAGATGAAAGACTGCTCATCCTGAATGTGTCCTCTGAATAAAGAGTAGATTAGTCTTCAGGTTGTTAATCCTGCATCTAAATGAGTCCTAAATTAATTTACAATGTTAATGAGAGGGAGTGAAATGTAGCATTCACTGTTCATATTGCTCATCAAATAGGCTTAACAAAAATAATAATGAAAACCCTTTTAACTGAGAAAGAAGGCTGCACACGTGCTTTAGGAGGAGATGGTGGTGAAAACTCGGTGAGAGGAAAAGAAATCTATCAAAGGCAGCGTATGCCCGTGCATTCATGCCATAACCAATTGTTTGCAGGCACAGCTGGTCTCATACTGCAGACATTCAAGAGTCAAGTCATGCTCTCTCAGCTTCTCCTGCTCTCTGGTAAGCAGAGGTGACTGGTTTCTCCAGAACTGCAGAGATGGAATTTGAATTTTTATCTTGCTTTATATTAATCCCAAGATACAAGTTGCAGTGTGTCTGGGAGATGCAGTGAAAACTGCTTAGAGGGAAGCCAGCTTCCTGTACAGCAGAATTTGAAGGGACACTCCAGCCTCATCCATAATGGAAAAGAGCAGAACATGGTACCCTCTGTAACAAGGATCCTGTGACAGCAGAGGACACACTACAGATGTATCACAGTTGCTACTTGCTCAGTAGCACTGTAGAGTAACAGGCACATAACCGTGCTGATTTCAGAGCCTCAATTACCTCTTAATGATACTAAAATTCTGTGTTGATCTTCCTTTTTAAAGAACTGTGTGCACAGTTATATAAATAATAAAGTGCACTTAATGGTTCTTCAGGTCCGTAGCCAAGCTTAATTGTTTCTTTTCATTTCTTGCTGGTTGCTTTTGTTAGATGGATAAAAGGATAATCTTGACTGATCTCAAAAGGTGATAAAACACCTCTGTGCCTACTTAAGCTGTGCAGCTGTAATCAGTCAATGCAACCATAAGCCAAACAGTGCAAAAAGGCTTTCCTATGTGTGGAAAAGGGTAGGGGCAGCAGTTCGGATTGTCAAAACTATAGGCTTCTAAAACCACAAAGCCTGGGAGGAGGGAGAACAGATTTATAAATCTGCTACAAATTGTGTTATTCAAATCACATTTTCTTCCATATATTTTTGGGCCACAGGAATAATGCCCACTGGTGGGCTCTGTTTTCCTTTGGATTTTTCTGTCCTTTCTTCGTTGTTTTTTTTCTGAGCTTTATTGCTCTGCCTGCTTTCCTTGCCCTTGAACTTATTTTGCTTTCGTTTCTTGCCGGTGTCTATTTAGCAAATCAGAGCTCTATTCATAATAGTGCCTAGCTCTTAGTACCATTTGTCTTCTGTATACCTCTGGACTTTTTTATATGGAAGGCATAATGAGGCTTGCCCTTTTCTACAGATGGAACCAAGAGAACCATATGGGAGAAATGTCCTGCCCAAAGTCACACAGCAGGTGTGAGCCAGAGCCAGAATGAGAACTGCAGTCCATTTCTTGGACACAGCACCCAACCAGGTTAATGGTCAGACCTAGAGACTTGGTCTTAGCTATTGGGCACCTTACTTTTCTAGCCTAAATAGTTCAAGGTCAAGAAACATGAAACAGTGGGGACTTCTGCAAGGGGAAGCTGTAAGCCACCAAATAGTTATGGCAAGGATTTCCTTGAAATGTGGAGGAAAAATTGTCTGTCTTCAGGAAGATCATAGGGTATCACTAGAGGAAGTCTTGTTAACCAAGCTTTTACACCATTAGTCAGAAACAAGGAGATGTTACAAAATGAGAAATCTGGAAGGTATCTGTGGCTCTGAAAGAACTTCTCACTTGGAGACTGATGGGCATTCCCCCAAAATGCCTTTCAGCCCCTGGTTTTCCTGTGAAGCCTAGCAATGCTGAGTACTTTCTTAAGTTTTACTGTGGGTTGATTTTTCTTGTAAGGATCAATTGCAATTAGAACCGATCATTTGAAAAATGAAGCTTGGTCCTAATTGAGTCACCTTGCCTTTTGAGGTGACCTAGTGTAACCTTGCAGTGGAGTCCAACCTTGAAAAGGTACTGGCATCTCCAGTGTGCTATGACTGCATCAACCAGGCCATAGGCATTGGTTGTGCCCTGATTAATGCTTGTGACAAGGGTAGCAGGAACAGCCGCTGCCCAAACAGATCCTATTTATTATTGACTTACAAACAAGCACTTTGTTTAGAGCATGGTAGGTGCTGCAGGATCAGACAGTCCTTCTGACTGGTTGGGAAGCCTGAGAACATCTTAACTAATGCATGGTAGAAGAGTGAATACAGAACATAGCAGACTGAAACGCCATCTGCTTTCCAGTAAGCACACTGTGCTGGAGAATGTTGCAATGCGATCTAATGGAAGACTCGACTGCCTTCTTTCTTTAAGCAGGTTTTCTCCTTATTAAGGTAGAGTGAGGTGAGACAGTCCAGAGCCTGGTTATCACCACATTAAGCCCATTACAAGTTCTGACAGCCCTTTTTCCTGTCTGCTAGAATGGTGTCCAATACGCTACGAAGTCCTGGCAATCTGAAGTTCTGATTCATGAAAGCAGTTAAGCCTATTTGGAATCTCTCTGCAATCGAGAATGAAAGTATTTTTGTGAATCAGTGAGCAAGTTAAGGGAAAATGGGTTTGTGTCCTAGCCCTGTCCTGTGTGCACCAAGGACCAAACTGTAAAAACGCTGCTTACGGTGCGAGCCTTCACTAGACAGCTCTGGATTGCAGAGTAAATAATCTTTGCTGGGGAGGGAAGGGACCTTACGATGCCCTTGACTGCTTCTAATAGGAGGTAATTCTAGAGCCAGTGTTGTACTTTGTCTTTTTATTGTACATGTCAGCATGAATAGGGAAGCTTTCCAGACTGGCTTGTCTTCATTAATGTTCTGATTTTATGTTACTACATGGCTACTAACACAGCATGGCAGTTCATTCAGCCTGTCTGCTCTGCCAAAGGAAGGCTTGCCTAGCTGTTGGCCTAATGGGGCAGGTATTTGGGCTGCTTGTTTCAAGGGAAACTTGCACGTGTGCCTATTTTCCCTTAGGCTGTAGTTCAGGCACTTCTTGCCAAAGTTGTGTTCATTTCTGTAATTCATTATAATAATGAGGGCAGAGATT